TATGCAACGAGAACAAGGAGAAACCAGTAGAACATAGATAGAAGTGGGGGATCGAGGAGATTGCAGTAGTGGACCAGTACACATACCTCGGAGTAGAGATCGCAAAAGACTGCTCGTGGAATGCACACATGTCCAAGGTAGCGGAAAAGGGCAAATCACGAGCAGGGAAGCTGCACCCAATATTCGCAAACCGGCACCTCGATACACGCATCAAATTGGCAATCTTGAAGAGCGTAATCGTACCGCCGCTAGAGTACGCCGGAGAAGTATGGGAAGGAAATAAGAAGGTAGTGAAAGAACTCGAGGCGGCGCAGATGAAAGCAGCGAAAATCATCCTAGGATGCTCCACGCGCACAAGTAATGCAGCCGTGAGGGCAGAATTGGGGATCCAATCCCTACGGTCGGGAAGAGACGCGAGGAAGCTGACCTGGCAGTATCGCATGTGCGGGATGGGAGAGGAGAGGTTGCCGAGGATTGTATGGGAGGCGAAGTGGGCAAACAAAAAGAGGGGTAGACAACCCACGGAATGGGTCAAGGTTGTAGAGGACGTATGTAAGGGGTTCGAAATCGATGAAGATGAAACGCCGGAAACGGAGGGTCTACATGGGTCCAAGGAGAAGGTATCTGTTGCTTGTGCCGAGGGAGAACAGAATCTAGGGAAAGAAACCGAGGAGAAGGAGGGTCTAGAAGTGTACGGAATGTTGAAGGAAGGAAAAGGGTTCAAAGATTACCTACATGGACCAAGGGATGCAGGGACGAAGCCTAAGGTCAGATTCAGGACCGGGGACATGGATAGGCCTTCGAGGACGTCAACGAAGACCTGGGACGGTTTGACGACGAAGGCGACAAGTTCAAATGTGATTGCGGCCTCGAGTGCGACGACCGTGTTCATGTAGTCGCGGAATGTCAGTTGCACGAAAAGGAGAGGGAAGTGTACGTGACTGAGCTGGGAAAAACACAAGGGAGGTACAGGGAGATGTTTGAGGCATGGAATAGACGTTAGCTGTACTGGGGAGTAGGAAGTAGCTTGACAAGGCGGGAGATGGCGGGAAGGGATAT